GTCCACATGCTCAAACCTCGAGGTTGCCAACGCCCCGAACTCCTTCCTGGAGTCAGAGCCAGGCTCAAGTGATGCGCTCAACAATTCCGCTGAGTTACCTTCGCGGTTTTTCGACTTCTTACGCGATCTTGGACACCAGGTCCGCCTGGACCGCCTTGCCGCCACCGCCTTTCCAGCTGAAGCCGCAGCGCAAATGGCAGGATCGACCCTTGATGCAGTTAACGACGACGAAGATGTGGCTGTTACCGCTCAGGAAGTCTTCAAGGATGAAGAGCAAGAAATCCTTGAGAAGCTGCCGCTCCCAGGAGAGCCGAAATGAGAAGGAGAACGAAGGAAGTCTTGGCTCAAGATTCCGCTCCGAGTGAGGATCGCCATTCGGCGACTCCACAGGCAGTTCGGTCATGTTCCGAATCGCGTGTTGATCCAACTTATGAAGCTTTCCAGGATGTCGTCCGAATATATTGAGGCAGCCAAACTTTACCGTTGTGAGTCCTGTGAGCATCACAAACCGCTACCGCAGACACACAAGGTAGCGCTTCACAAGAAGTTATGTTTCAATTGCGAGATCGGGATCAATGTTCTGGAGGTGAAGGACAACAGCGGCGAAAGATACAGCTTCCTGAATATCGTCTGCCAGGGAACTACGTTCCAGCGGGTCATATTCGTTCGACTGGGTGGTGGAATGCCGTCTTCGCGGACTTGCCTCACAGCTCTCCAGCAGCACTGGTGTGCTTTGGCAGGAAAGCCTAAAAGGATCGTGTTGGATCGAGGGTTACATAACAGAGGTGTCTTCTTACAGTGGGTTAAGAGTCAAGGGGTCGATCTCCGCGACGCAGGAGTCGAATCCCCGGAGCAGATCGGACGCACCGAAAGACACGGCGGACTATGGAAAATCGTGTTTAAGAAAGTGGTTCACGACAAAAACGTTATTGGCCTCGACGAAGTTATGACGACAGCCGTAGAGGTCGACAGCACCAAGAACGAGATGTCCCGAGTTGGCGGTTTTTCGCCGTCTCAGTGGGCACTCGGTCGGCTGCCCCGTGTGCCGGGGAGTCAGTTCGACGACGAAGAAGCTTACGACCCGGGTGTATTGGCTAACGTGGCTGAAGATGGGTCTGATGAGTTCTCACGTCAATCTGCAATCCGCGCCACTGCCAGGAAAGCATTCGCCGAGCACGACGTTGGTAGCAGGACCGCGCGTGCTATGCTTCGTAAAGCAGCCCCTCTGGCGGGCGAGTACCAGGTCGGAGATGTGGTGTGCTTTCGCAAAAGGCCCACCGACGGAGAAGTTACTGCAAAATGGAGCACTGGATCGAGGATCGTAGGGTTCGACGGCAAGAACGCATGGGTCATCACCGAGGGGGTTCCGGCGCGTGTTGCGGTTGACAGGCTCAGACCGTGCACAGCGGCGGAAGCTCTGGCGTATCAATATCTTTCCCGGCACCAGGATGGAGGTATGGAACGACGCGCTCCTCCTGAAGGTCAGCGGCAGTCGTTTGTCGACGAACGAAGAGAGTTACCTGGTGCAGACCAGCCTGGAGCACCTCAAGAGGACGTATTCCCAGTCATCCATGAGGGGCCGGACTTTGAAATGCCAGAGCCGATGGAAGAGTCTCAATCTGTAGCACCAGGTGGGAACATGAGTGACGGAGGCGAGGGAGAAGCTGAATATTCCCCTGCCGAACAACCTGAGCCTAGACCGTCGCGCACCCCGTTGCAGAGATCTTAGCTAGATGATGCGCCGCGCGACCTACGTGGTCGCGGCGAAGTGATGCGAAGGAGATTGGACACAGGAGGATCATCCTCAGAAAGGAGATCCGCCTCAGTGTCAGAACCAGCAGCCGAGCCAGCGAACCCGCTGCTCGAGGCGTGGCAGAGAACGGGGACTACAGGATCAGGCGTAGATCTACTCCAGAGGAGGACTGCGTCCGTGGCAGCCTAATCACACGAGTCACTTGTTGGTTTCTTCAATGAGCGAGCCATCAGTAAGCCTCAGTCTCGAAAGAAGCTGAAGAGCGTTAAGAACCTTACATTCCATAAGGAATCGGAGGAAGTTAATAGCGGACTGCGTCTCGCAAGACAAGACGAGTGGGGAAAATGGCGAAGGTTCAATGCTGCCGTAACCATTGATTCCTCAGAACTGCAGAAGCTTCTCGGCGAGGGATATCGCATGGTTCCCACGCAATGGATTGAGGTAGATAAAAACGAACATTTACGCAGACCGGGTGGACCACCGGTTGCGCCACAATGCAAAAGCAGACTTGCGGTACGAGGAGACTTCGAGGAATCTCTCGGCATCCGCACGGACTCACCAACATGTGAGCTAGAAGGCTTAAGGCTGATAGTATCGTGGGCCGCAGGCACGAAGAAGGCATTGAAGTGCGCTGATATCACTTCAGCCAATTTTCAAGGTCAAGAACTCGACCGTCTCCTGTTATCAAAACCACCTCCCGACGGGCTCGAAGGAGTGCCGGATGGTGGGGCGCTTATGGCTCGTATGCCTGTTTCTGGAACGCGTGACGCTGGGAGAGGTTTATGGAAGAAGATCCGACAACGTTTCCAAGCTCACGGATTAAGAGAGAACCGTATCATGCCAGCCTTTTTCAGTTTATCTAATGATAAGAACGAGATTACGTGTATGATAGGCACACATGTGGACGACATACTATGGGCCGCAGACGGCGAGAGCCAGAGGATTATTGACTCCGTGCTGGCAGAGTTCGACATCAGAGAGGTCAAGTCAGGAGATTTCCGCTACTGCGGGTTAGAAATTGCTCAAGATCAAGACTATACCGCCCATGTCATGGCCAAGGACAACATCGAAACTATAGAAGCTGTATCCTATCCCAGGGACAGCCCCCTCACCGGGCGCTGTAACGAAGGAGAGACATCCCAACTTAAGTCAGTTGTAGGTGCCTTGTCTTGGGTTTGTCGGCAATGCAAGCCCGAGCTCCTCTACCGCGTGAGTCGACTGCAAACGGCAGTGACCCATGCGAAGGTATTGCACCTTAGCGAGGCCAACTGCGTCTTGGAACAAGCAGTACAGACGTCGGACAGCGGACTTGTGTGTAAAGGTGGTGCCGTGCTGTGGGACAAGGACATCATCGTTCTTACCGTTGCGGATGCCAGCTGGGCTGGAGAAGACGATGTTGTAAGAGGCAACTTGGAGCTGCTCAGATCCCAGAGGGCCAGGTTCAACGGACCTGCAGGGCCGGGATTTGAACAGTGATTACGTCCACCCTATATGTTTATCGAGCAAGGTTATTAGGCGCGTGTGCAAATCTACTTTACAAGCAGAGACGTTGGCTTGTCTCTGGGGTGTAGAATCAGGTGTGCGTATACGTGCTGCCATCGCTGATGCGCGAGGTATGCTTGGGGTAGCTAATGAACTCCCTTCAGACTGGGAAGAGATTTCAGCCATGACGATGAGACATCTTTGGATGACAGATTGTAAGAGTTTGGAAGAGCACCTAACAGCGCCTACTATGGGAAAGACGGAGGATAAGCGCTTGAGTATTGACTTGAGCAGTCTCCGTCAGGACATTTGGACACGAGATGATGAAGAGGTAGAAATCCTGCACCCGAATTTGTTCTGCGATAAGATCCGTTGGATCGATACGAGTGTCATGGCCGTAGATTCCCCCACTATGCTATGCCAAATGATTTCCTTGTTAACATATTGACCACTGGTACTTACGATACTACCCCGGACCCGGAGTCAACGATCAAGAAAGCGAAGAAACAGCTGGCTAGAGCCAGAGTGAACACTATCCCGAGGGGGAAGTGATGTTACTGTCGCCACCCTGGCCGCCTTACGCTGCGTCTCGTTTGGAGACGCCCTTGTACTAGCCCCTAAGAGTGGCTGCCAACCGGCTAGCTCGTGACAGAGTTTCACAGGTTTGATATATAGTGTGTGTATGACACCGTCGTACGCCGCTCGCCGCCGCTTGGCTCTTAGGGGCCCCTCTTGCCTTGGCTTGAAAACGTATCATCAATCACAGACGCTTACAGAGGCAAGCTCTAATTGGGGAATTAAGCGCAAGAGCAACAACAACGACGGGGACGACAACAACAACAACCTCAGCAACACCAGCAGCAACAACAAGGATATGAATATCAACCGCATCAGCAGAGCCGACAGCGGTTTTGGATAACGCCGCTCTTATGGCCAGGTGAGAACCTTCTGTATGCTAAAGTGTCTGCATTATGTCCCTCGTCGCGCACTGCATTACTGATTATTGCCCCTCTCCTGTCTCCTGCCATCCCGCCAGGGGGAACATTCCTTTCGGCTGTGTGTTTCTATCGAGGCTCGTCCTAGGGATCTGTCCGTTTCAGGGAAGCCGATATCCTGAATCCTCCGCGCCCTGGTGGCGTTTCGGGGCCGTTCGAAGTTGCCTCGAAACGCACAGGTCCCAGGTAGGTTGAAGAGCAAGCCTCGGATGGAATATCGAATTCGCATGTTAGCGTGTCAGGTTGTTGTTGTTGCCTGTGCGACGTGGCTTGCTATTGACAGCAGTCGAATCGAACAAGTTAAGCAGGAGGCGTTTCTGCATTGTTGTTGTTTGGGGCACTTCGCGTCTGCAGGGTGTGTTCAGAAGGTCCCCGCCTGTGCCCGACGAGAGAGGGCTGTTCACCTTTTCGTTCTGGATGTGTGTAAACGTGCGTGCGCCTCTGCCCTGTGGGAGGGTGTCGAAGCGGAGGGAGGCGGAGGAGGACGATGAGGCACGGGAAGATGAACGCGTGGAGGTATGAGCTGGAGGGAAGGAGGAGGGGGGACCGAGGGTTGAGGGGCTGAGGGGGCACAGGATGATGATTACCCAGGAAAGCTGGGACGCTGGTCTGGCGCGGCGGGATGAGGGTGCGGATGCTTCTCGGCCGTCGTTTCTCCCGACCGTGTCCTCGCGTTCTAGCACGTCCGCTTAGTCCTCAAGCTTTGTCGCCGCACTTGCCTGAGAGGTACTCCAAAGACCCCTCCTTGCTGTGGCTGAAGACATCCCGCGATGAGGCTTGCGCTGGACTCGGCAGTTGAGGAAGCACACGTGCATGTGTGGTCGTAATGGTGGTCAATGTGGACCGCTTCTGCCTGCTAGTCCCATCTTTGACAAGGCGAGTCAAGTAGCATGAGGCTTCACACTGTAAGCGACGCGTACGATCAGCTATCATCAAGCGGGGCGTTTTCTCGGAAAGTGGAAGAGGGTGAAGAGGAAAACGAAGAGGATGAGGAACAGGAGGAAAGGGAGTGGGCGGAACCAACGAGAGGCGTAAGCGTAAAGTTCCGGAGGTCCGCACGGATTTATTCGGACGGCGATGAGCCGCCCTCGCCATTCCCCTCCCTGAGCGCGCAGATCACCGTTGCGCGCGCGGGTGGGTCGAGCGAATCCACGTGATTTATGTTATTGAGGCGGTGCCCAGGCAAATTGAATCCGCGCCCATGGTGCGAAGGCGTTGTGGCGTGGTTCCAACCACATTCCCAAAACGCATCTGCCTCCCACTTTGCCCCCCCAAACCCGGAGTTGAGACGTCGACGTTTCGCATTTGAGTACAGCTCTGCTCCCAACCCCGTCAACTTTGTTTGTTTGATGTGCCTCGCTGCCGTGCATGGGTTTGAATGGGACCCCTGGCCACAGGGCCTCCAGGAGGCCTCTTCGGGGCCTCGCTGGGGATGGTGTTGGGGACTTGTGGGGGATTCTTGGGATTCTCCTGATGCATGCACAGGCTCTTTCGGGTTCTCTTGGGGGCTTTTCGGGTGCTTCTGGGATCATTTTGGGGCATCTTGGGGGCGTCTTTAGCGTCTTGAGCGTTTGGTGTAGCGTTTCGGTGGTTCTTTTGGCGCTCAAGCGAACGAAAAGGTCGCAACGCGTGAAACATGGGAGCAAAACAGATGTGCGTTGAGGATTCTAGCTTCTTTAGGCAATATTGAAGCGGTGGTGGCGTTCTTGTGAGCAGGGCCCCCACTGGGCGAACCAGGCCCCCTGGGGGGTTGGCCCGTCTTTTGCGGCCGTTGGCATGGGACGCCCCTGCAAATGGGCCCGAACCCCGGGTGAGCCCAGCCCCCAGGGCCGGGGGGGGTGGCCCGTTCTGGCGGCCGTTTGCACGGGGCGCCCACGCAGATGGACGCGCGAGGCCGTGAGGCGTTCGCGAGGGGGGGGGGTCGGCCAGCCCCAGCGGCCGTTTGCATGAGGCGCTCATGCAAAGGGGCGCGAACCCCTGAGGCGTTCGCGGGGGGAGCTTTGGCCAGCCCCAGCGGCCGCTTGCATCGAGCGCCCATGCAAATAGGCGCCGAACCGGCGGATTGGGCTCACTGCGTAGCGGTTGGCCCGTTCCGGCGGCCGCTTGCATGGAGGGCCCATGCAAATGTGCGCTAGTCTGAGGGGCTCAAATTTCCAGTTTGGGCGCCCGCGGGGGGGTTATGGGGTGACCATCTCACACGCCTCGAGATCCACAAGGTGTCGGAGGTCTTGATGCTTGGGGCCACAGTGGGGCAGGCCAAGGGACCTGGTTCGTTGCGCGCTGACGGACTGATTCTTTCCCCTCCGCCAACATGCCCGCCGCATTGGTTCCCAGTGGCATGGCAGCTTTCGTTGAGTGCCCGTCTGTGGCAGCTTGGTCGGAGGCGCCAGACGTTCCGGGGGGCCCTTCGGGCCCTGCGGGGTGGAGCCCACGTCGTTTTCCTCTTCCGCCTTTTCCTCCTCTTCGACTGACTACGCGTGTTTTTCCCTGCATTTGCAGTGGCCCCATAGTCCCCGTCTCGCCTGTACGGTTTTGGCCCAATGGGGCCGCGTTTCAAAGGTTGATTGGCATGGATTTGCTTGCATTGAGTGTCACCCGATGTTTTCTTTTTAGTTGGGGGAAGATGTATGATGCCAGGCCCTTTCTGTTCCTTTCCCCGTCATCCTTCCTGCGTTTCTTTGATCTCTCCACTCCGCCGCCGCCCAGTGCCTTCTTCTGTCGTGGCGACCGCATCGTGGTGTGGTTCCCGGGAATCCTTTTTTCGGCTGCTCTTTGGTTCCGTCCCGTGTTGGGCCCTTGGATATTGGATGGACCGTCGTTTGGCTGGCAACGGATAAACCCCTCTCCTGTATTTCAGTACACATGCTGGTGGGGTAAGCTGTATGTGTGGTCAGTCCGCTGATCGCCCATTGCGTACCACCGTCTCCCTTCCCGCCGCAGTTTCCCGATGTTCGGGGCGCCTGCCCGCGGCTGCGGGTTGCTTCTGTGGCCCCGTTCCCTCTCCGTCGCAGGCTCCTTTTGTGCGCCTCTTCTGCTGATGTTGTTTCCTTGTTGTTGCTGCTGCGTGTTCCGTCGCCTGCGTGTCCCCTCAGCTGCTGCTCCGCTGTGATGGCGCCGAAGCTGCTGCTGCTGATGCGTGGCTGGGCCATTCAGCCAGGCCGCGGACTGATCGGCGGGCATCGCGTCGACCAGGTTGTATCCGATTCGTCTATCTAACGTGGGCGCATTCTTCCCTCACCTGTCGCTGCTGCTCCAGGGACACAAGAAAAAAGATCGAGCGCACACCCTTGCCGCCGGATTCTCTCAGCCGCCTCCCCTCTCTGCCTTTGCACGTGTGCCACCTCGAGCGGACATTCTAGTCGTGTACAATGTCCGCCGGGGGGAAAATCATCATCACCAGCGCTTCCCCAGTCCACCTCGCTTGCAAGGAACATTCCCCTGTTCTCCGCCCTCTCCTCCGCCGACGCCGGCCTTCGTGCAATGTTTTGCGGTTTTCCTCCCGCGAGGTCCTGTCCGATGCGTTCCGGGCGGTACATGGAAAGGATGTGGGCTTCAAAGGGGACCACCCGACATGGCCGAAAATGAGGGGCAATGTGTATGTATGTGTGTATATATATATGTATATATATATATATACACATATGTATGCATATGCGACAAAAATGACGGGTCGCTTCGCTTCGCCTAAAATTTTTCCTGCGTCCAAGCACTGCCGGGTGGCTGCCGACGGCCATATCGGTGCGGAAAGATCATGGGCACGAGAGGGGGTGCGGGTCATTGGCATGTTCATGAGCAAGAGAGGGGGTGCTGGATGGAGCCCATCGGCATGTCAATGCCATGGGGGGAGGGCAGGGCTGCCACGAGGGCGAAGGCAAGGAGCTCGATGGCGGTGCATGGCATTTTCCCATTGGGTGACGACTATGAGGTCGATGGGGGTGTACGTCATGGCCGCCGTCGGGGTGCAGGTCATGGCCAAGCGGGGCCTGCACCAGGGCCAAGATGTCAACGGTTTGGGAAAGTAATCGGCGAGATGAGCACGAGGGGGGTGAAGGTCACGATCCGAGAAGGGGTCCTAATATCAACGTGCATCGGTTGAGGTTTATGTCGTCGCTGTGGTACGGGACCACTCATGATCGCCGAGGCCGTCGGGAATACGGCGGAGAGGGGGCCGCGGTGATAATCTCGGAGGTGCGAGGTGCGAGGGTGGTAACCGCGAGTTGGGTCTTGACCGCGATGGCGAGGGTGTCGAGGTTGATGCAGGATTTGCGGAGCTGCTCCAGCACCCGACAATTCGCGTTGATCAAACCGTTGGCTCCTAGATCTTCCACCGTTGCCCCGCGTCTCCTCACCCTTCGCGCTTGCATGGACAGCGGAACGCAGCGAGGCGCCCGGAAAAGGAAGGGAAGTGGGCCAATTGGGCTGCGTAGGTGGCTTCCAGGGTTTTTTTGTTGGTTCGTTTGGGGCCAATGGGGCGGTTTCGGGGGCCTCGTGCACCGTTTTGGGGCCTCCCTGGGCCGCGTTCGCGTCTTCGGGGTCCGTTTTGGTGCCGTATTGGGCCGTATTGATGCTCTTTTGGGCCGTTTCGGGGCCGTCCGTGAAGTTTCTTGGGTCGTCTTGGGCCTCATCGGTGCCGTATTGGGGCGTTTTCGGGAGCTCGTTGGGCCTTCGCGGTGCCCTACTGGGAGGCGGTTGCGTCGCGCTTTGGCCTTCTTGGGATCATTTGGAGGCCGTCCGCGGGTCCCTTTGTCCGCGTCGGGGGTCGCTGCGAGACTACCGGGGCCGTCCGCAGCGTCAAGAAGAGCGCGGCCGGCTAGCAGGGGAGGCCCCGGAACCCCCGGGGTTGTCCGAAAGGCACCACGAGGCAGCGGGAGGCCATCCGGAAGGGGCCCCGCGATTTTCTGAGGGGGGGGGCGCGTTGCCATCTTGGGGGGGGGGGGTATTTCTTTGCAGGATGAGGAATAGAATCGGCGATCTATTAAGTTACAGTGTGTGTGTGTGTGTGTGTGTGTGTGTGTGTGTGTGTGTGTGTGTGTGTGTGTTGCGTTCTCAAGCGGCGGCGGGCGCCCAGCATATTGGTAACGCGTTCTGGGTTCATATGTTTACGCGTTTCCTTCGAGGGGGGGTGATGTGTTCTACGAAAGTTCCCCCAGGGCGCCGCCCTTGGTCCCCAGTTGAGCAGTCATCGCAGCCACGTTATATTCGGTTTTGGTGGTCGTGTCCGCTGTGTCTTGCGACCCCCATGGGTTGAAGGGTCCATGCGTTTTGGTGCCATGTTCATCACGGCGGGCGAATGGGTGAGCGCGGTGAGAGTGCTTGCGAAGAGTGCGCTTGAGAGCCGCGTGGGCAGGTCATCCCCGCCTTTTACATCCACAGGGACCCTGCCCGCGTTGGCCTGATGTCATGTTGTTCGCCCGTCTTCTTCGTCATGTTTATCCTGTGTTTTCTCTCTCTCTCTCTCCCCCTCTTTTTCTCTTTCTTTTTTTGGGGGGGGGGGTCTTTGTTTCTCTCTCTCTGTCTCTCTTTTCTCTCTCCTCTTTCTCTCCTCTCAGTTTTTTTTTTTTTTTTTTCTCTCTCTCTCTCTCTCTCTGTCCTCCGTTTGCGCACGCCACGCCCGCGCTGCGCACATTCAGGCGTTTGCGTGTGCACCGTGCCTGCATCACCTCGTGGGAAGTTGCTCTGTGCCAGCGCCACGCATGGATACCCAGCTGTCTGCGGCAAGTTCTGCCGCCTTGCCAGCGCACAGTTTTGCGCGATGACGTGTGGAACACCGCGCGCAGAAGGTTGTATCATGTGACATTTCTCGTCAAGAGTCTTTGGTTGACTTGGGATCCGGCCAGACCTTTTGAGTGTATGTTGGGACCAGCTTTGGCTTGTTTGAGTTGTGGGGCCGTCTTGGGTCCTTTTGGTAGTTTTGGCACCCTCGGGTGGTTTTCTTCGAAGCCCCGTGGGGCCCCAGTGGGTCACCGTGGGGCCCTTCTGGGTTGTCTTCGGGCTCTCTTGATCTGTCGGGAGGCCTTTGTGTGGTGGACCCAGGTCGCCAGTGGGCCGTTTGGGACTCTCATGGATGTCTTTAGGCTCTCTCTTTCTGACTCTTCCGTGGTCTTTCTGGAACTATCTTGAGCCGAGAAGCGCGATACACCCAACGTGCCAGAAACAATATTTGAGGAGATGAATAATTTGGTGTGTCTGGGCTCAGCCCGAACTTATGTTCGCGATGTGCATTGACTGACACTGGTCGCATCTACGTGGCAGCCGTTTTAGCTTTGCAGCCGAGTGCGTAACCGATCGCGCAGCCACGAGCGGACTACTTTATGTTCGGCCGCCGAGTGGGTCAATATCAGGCCGTTGTAGTTTCGGCCGTCGACTGGGTAACCGATGGCGCATTCCAAGGATGGCGCAAACCATGGATGGCGCATTCTACGGATCGCGCAACCTGTGGCGCAACTCATGGATGCCGCAACCTCTAGCGCTCCATGTATCATCCAACCCTTGGCGCGGCACGTTCTCACACACGCACACACACGGTAGTTTCTGCGAGGCTACGCCCGCAGTGTGTTCGCCGTTGGGATTGGTTGTGGTTTCAAGCGGCTCGCTGCCTTGTGATGGCGTGGTGTTTGTCGTCCTTCAAGGCGTGTTTGTCTTCTCCTTGGTGTCTTGGAAGTGTAGTGGGACCTCTTTTGGCTTCTCTTGTGTTCTTCTTAGAGGCTGTTTGGCGCCTGTTGAGGCAACGCTTGGCCAAGTTGGGCCGTGATTGGTGGCCCTGGTGGCGTTCCAGGGCTGTCTTGACATCCACGGGGGTGCTTGCACAGCCCCAGTGAGGCGTCAGGGCCGCCCAGGGAGCTTTTGAGGGCGGCATGCGAACGCGTGTGATGAGGGGAGGCCGTTAGACGACTCACAGGAACCGTACCACGTCTCATCACCATGCCAAGGGGCACGGTGGCGGATACGTGCATTATTTATTGGTTGATCATTTCACAATGTCAGAGTGTTTGGCTTGCTATTCCTACCCGCACCCCCATTTGACACGCTGCGAGCCGCGCGCTTGCCTTCTGCGGGCCTGGTAAGCTTCGGATTGCCTCGCTTGCGCAAGAGCCCCGCCACCCGTTCCCCTCCCAACGGTGAGTTCCTCCGTCTTCCTCGCCGTTCTCGGTCGTTGCGCTGCTCCTCGGTTTGTCTCTCAGCCGTCCTACTCCTGGCACTCTGCATTCCTCGTCCCCTTTCTACTGCTCACGCCACTCCTTTTCCAGCTCCACTTTAATCCCCCTCCGCGTCAGCACTTCGCCTCCTCGTTGTCACATCCTCCACCCGCTCCGTTCCATCCTCTCGTAACTGTCCCTCCCCCGTTGTCCTTCTCTTTCTCCGCCTCATGTTCGTGTTCGTCCTCGGCATCCACCATCTGACCATCGCTCTCTTCGGCTCCATCTCCTCCTCCCCCCTCCTCAGAAGCGGGCGCATTCTGCCTGCAAACGCGCAACAGGAGCCCCGCGGCTCCCAGGAGAAGAGGGCGCACTTCACGCTCCTCTTCAGCCACGGCAACGCCGAGGACCTCGGCTACATCATCAGGCCCCACGCATTGTGAGCACTCGTGCATGACACTGTGACAGAGAGAAGGGTCAGACTCCCCTGCGGTCACGGGCGGTAGTTTTGGGATTTGCCCCCCTCCTACCTTCCCTCCGCTCCTAATATCATCTTCCTCCCCCATCTTTCCTTACCCCTCCTCTTCTCATTTCTCGTTCTCCGCCTCGTTCTCCTGCTCCTCCTCCTCCTCCTCCTCCCCCGGGGGTTAGGTGGCCGCCTGACTGAAGTACATCGATGTCAGAATCGAGCCCCGCAGTTCGAACGCCTTCTCCCCCTCGGCAAGTTGGCTTCTGCTGGATGGGGGTCCAGTCAGCTGCATCGTATATTTTCTGCGGCCTCCTGCAGAGACTATCAAGGCCATGCGAAAACCAAGGCGCCAAAGAGGCGCGTCATCCTTTGTGCCGCGCCCTCTCAATTGGGCGCGAGACGGACCCAGAGGTCGAGACTTCGAATGGGCGCCCGTCGTTCCTCCGCCAAAGTGCTTGGGTGTTGCTTCCTTGCCGTGCCTCGAGCTGCAGGAGGTGAATCGGGGACAGTCAAGAGGAGGAAGAGGAGGACGAAAAGGAGAACGAAAAGGAGGAGGAGGAGGAGGAGGAGGACCAGAGTAAACCCAAGATGTATCAATCGATGCTGCAATACACCCTCCCGTCCCAAGTCACCTGCTCATAAGTCCATACATGTCTTCCTTTCCACTGAGACACCTCCCTTCAATGACAAGCGGCCGGTCGGTGTGTCAGTCAGACAACGGCGCATGCAGTAAAGGATCCCCACACCACTTGAAGGACGCCCAAGGTAGCCCTATTTTGAGAATCGCCTGCCCTCCATCTTTCTCAGCGTTGCAGGATGTCAAAGTCGTGGACGGATGCTCTGCGGAAGTCCCACGCGAGAGCCCTTCAAGGAGGCCCAGGGATAGCGTCTCAGCATTGCAGGATGTCAAAGTCATGGACGTCTGCTCCGCGGAAGTCTCTCGCGAGAGCTCCGATTCGAAAGAGGAGCCGCCTCCCATATGTGTCAGCTGTTGCACAACATGAAAGTCTGGTCGTTCAGGCCGCGGAAGGGCCACATGACTGTAGATGGTTGCTTTTGTATTCGAAAGCGCGAAGCTAAGGGAAGACCCCAACACGGTGGGGGCGTTCGTTAAGGAATGTGCCCATGAGATTGCAGTCCCTGGAATATTCATTACCTGATGAGGGCGGCGGTGATTTCCATGGCCGATCCACGATTGGAATTCCACCAGCTTCCAGGCTCTGGATTCCCAATCTGGGTGTGTTGTCCAATGCCCCCGCCATCTTGGAGCAGACTCGCCATCCACTCACACAGCTGAGGGCCTCTTGGAAGCCGAGTGTGCAAGGCGCCCGGGCGAGAACCCCTCTTTGAGTACGGCCAGCTCTCTGTCTTGTCGATGTTTGTGTAAGATAGTGGCGGGCGGCGCCAGCAAAGCGCGGGCCCGATTGTGAAAACTGCTCGTGCTCCACGCGTCAACGCGATCCTACTCCATTTGTTTTTTGAGGCTTCCTGTGGCGACGAGGGCGATGAAGATGAGGATGTGGACGGTGTTGCTGCTGGTGGCGACGGCGTGCTTGGGAACGGGGGAGGGACTATAGCAGTTGGGGTTGCCTGGGGCCGCCCCCGCAGCTTGGGAAGCGCTTGGCTCCAACATCGGAATCGGCGAAACTCGCGCGATATGTATCGATTTCATACCAGGAGGTCTTTAGTTTTGGGTTCCCCCCCTGCTTCTGTCGGCAGCGAACAAACTCGACCATCCCCCATCATGCTCTTCCTCCTCTTCGTCGTCCTCGTCCTCCACCTCCTCCCCCATCATCGTCGTCGTTGTCGCCGCCGCGACGGGTATGACTTTCCTTCCAGTGGTGGGCGGGCTGGATAATGTCGGAGGGTCTTTGCCCCAGGGGATATTCTAGTGTTGCCCACCCTACACGCGAGAGGATGTTGGAGCATCTCCTCACGAGGATGGCAATAGGAATGTGCGGTTGTGGTTGTAGTCGTGAATGTGGCCGTGGTTGTACTCGTGCTTAGGATCGTGATTGTAGCCGCGATTGTAGTCGCAATCGTCAGCGTGGTGTAGTCGCAATCGCAGTCGCATTGGTGCGCGTAGTCGTCGTCGCGACAGACATTATTAATGTTTGGTTGCTGGACCGACTGGGTAATGTTGGGTGTGTCTCGCATGCAATGCGGCTCTTCGGGCTGTCCTGCGCAATAATGGGATGTTGAACACGCTTGTATAATTAACAAGAAGCGGTATAAATAGACACATTATTCGCCGAAGGCGCTGCTCACAATCTCCTCTTTCACCTCGTCGTCGTCATCGCCGTTGTTGCGCGGCGGTTGCCGCAGGGAAATAATGCTCTCTCTCTCTCTCTTTCTCTCTCTCTCTGATTATCTCGTCCCCGCGCGCGTCGTTGTCGTCTGCTGCTGATTGCTGCTTCGGCCCTGTATCCTCGCGTTGCTTCCCTGGGCGGGCGCTTTATGCAGGCGCCCGCTCAGGCCGCCATCGAGGGTGCCCGGGCGTTTTTTTCCTAGGGCTTGGGATCCGCGTTGTACGAGCGGTTCGTAGGCCAGCCTTTGGTATCTCTCGCGGACTACGTCGGCTCCTCCGCGGGATCTTCGTGGTCCGCTCAGGCCAACCCGAACGGCGGAGGGCCCTGCCCTCCCGTCGCCTGGGGTGCGGCCTGTCCCACCGTCGGCCTGGGGCTCGCGGTGGATCTGAGCAGCGGGGTGGGGTGACCCTTGTGCTGGTTTCGTCGGCGGTGGCCGTGTTGGTGACCACTGCCGCTTGCAGCCTGTGCGGGGGGGGCTGCTGCATCGGGGCCCTGGCCTGGCGGCCCGCTGGCGGGCGTCATCAGGCCTCCCTCGCGCCCGGGCGTCGATCGGGGCCCCTGGAGGGCTCGGCCGTAGCCCGCAGCGTGCCCTGGCCTACGGCCTTGGGGCGCAGGTTGAGGAGCGCGCGCGGGCCTTGGCGCGAGGTCCCGCTGCTGCGCCTCTCCACGGCTGAGCTCGGCGGGCGGCGAGCTAGCCGCTCGTTTGACCGCAGCCATGGCCGACGACGTCTTTGCGTCCGGGGGATTCGTCATCCCCGATGGGCCACGCTGGCCCGACCTTCGCCCAATTTCGCCTCCGCCAGCGTCGCGGTACGACCGCTGGCGTTTGGACGAGGGCGAGGTGAGTTACGCCGCGATCCTTTTGTCCACCCGGCCTGGGGGCATCCTGCTGGCGTTGTCTGGGTCTTTCCGCTCCGCCGATCGCCTCGGCCTGGCGGGGGGCCCCTTCCAGGTGATCAGCGTGCCATTACTCGGCGCGGCGTCTCGCCCGCTAAGCTCGACCGCTTCGGCGTTGGTCGTCGACTTGGAGGCTTCCGAGATGGATTTGGAGGTTCTCAACCTCCTCAACGAGGGACACGCCGAGGGGCTTATCCCGTTTGGGTCAGCCCGTGAACGCGCGCATTGGCCGCGCCCCCCGACGGGGAGGAGCGCACCCCGGCACGGAGAGGACTACGCCTTACCAGTCAGCGGACGAGTTCGCAGGGGGCGGGCTGGGGGACGACGCTGGCGCCGAGGGGCGCCCCCCCCCCTCCCTGCGCGAGCTTCGCCGCTGCCAGCGGCGCCGCCTGCTGCGCCGCGGGCCCGTTTCGGTGTGCAGCCGAAGACCTGGGCAAGCGAGGCCCGCCCCAGCGCGGGAGGAGCTGTCGCCGCGGCCCTGGACGAGGGGGGGCGCCCATGACCCGCGCAGAGGTCCAGCTGGAGATTCAGCGGCCGCTGCGGCGGCACGCCCGAACACGTTGGGGGCCCGCACCGAGGCGCCTCAGCGGACGAGGCGGCGCGCGCGCGGCCATTCTTCGGGAGGGCCCGCAGGCGATGCTGGCGCAATCGCCGCCTTTCTCCACAGCGCGTCATCAGTCGCACCCCGTCGCCAACGTCGGCCCTGACGGCATCTCGGGGAGAAGGGGACTTCGGGGCGCTCGGCTACCATTCCCGCCGGCCCTGGCGCCGCCGCTGCCCCCTGCTCCTCCTGGACTGGCCATGCCCGACGGGGTCGACGGTTTCGTCGGGGGGTGCGCCGCGGGAGACGAGCCCCGCGGTACTAGCCTGTCGGAGTCCATTTTGGAATTGGCGCTGCTGGGTCTGCGAGGCTCCCTCCAGCGGTCGGGGCAGCCCAAGGCGGCGACGCATCTCCTCCTGGGGGCGCTCGGCGACCCTCTTCGTCTTACCGCCCGCGCGACGGTCGAGGGAGGGGCCGTATGGTCGTCGATGCGTGGGATCACGCGTCGCAGGGAATGACTGCATGTAGTGGTGCAGCACGGGCGAGAAGTCCGATCCACACCGGGGGCGAACCTCGCACGGGCTCTGCGGAGTGACGTCCTGTCCAGATTCAAACGTTACTTCCCCATCCCCCGGGGGGGTGCGATCTGTGAACATGTCGCCACGTTCGAGGGTTGCTGGAGGGGTACAGCGGAGCGACGTCTTACCCAAATTCAAACGAGACCTCGCCACCCCTCGGGGGGGTGCGATCTGAGAGACTGCCGACACCTTCGAGGGCTGCTGGTGGGTCCAGCGGGGTGATGCCCTACCCAGAATCAGATGATACATCGCCATATGTCATATGTCGGGAGGGGTGCGATCTGCGAAAATGTCGCCGAATTCGAGGGTTGCTGGGGGGCCCAGCGGAGGGACGTCTTACCCTGATCTAGATGAGACCTCGCCATCCGTGTGGGGCTGCGATATGTGAAAGCGTCGCCATTTTCGAGGGCTGCTGGAGGGCCCAGCGGGGTGACGTTTTACCTAGATTCAGATGATACCTGGCCATCCCTGTGGGGCTGCGATCAGCGAGCCTGTCGCCACTCGAGGGATGCAGGGAGGTCCAGCGGAGGGACGTACTACCCAGATTCAGATGCTACCTCGCCATCCTTCGGGGGGGGCGGGGGCGATCTGCGAAAATGTCGCCACTTTCCAGGGCTGCTGGGGGTGTCCAGC